TTCTAACCACCCCCTTTGAGTTACTCATCACTGAGTGCTCCATTGTGTGCTGCCAGAGTTTATAAGCCCCCTAGTTTGTTTTCCTCCTCTTAGTCTGTCTTTTCTTAATCTAACTGATGGGCCCCAGCTTGGGAACCTGGGAGGAGTAGAGAAAAAAGACTGTGTTTTTCCCCTGTACCTGCATGGGTCACCCGACACAGTTACAGAGCTTTGTAACATGAAACTGCAAATAGAATGGAGGAAAGACGGAGCTGGAGAACGTGTTTAATTTTATCCCCTCCCTTTAGAGATGAAAAAACTTAGACTCACAAAGTTTTGACTAATTCTTTGCTAAATTAAGACTAACTTCTAGAGAGAAAGGAGGTTGGCCCAGGGCACTGAGCCTTTTTCTCTCTCTTTCTTTCTTTCTTTCTTTCTTTCTTTCTTTCTTTCTTTCTTTCTCTTTCTTAGTTTTTATTTTAATGCCAGTTAGTTAACATAGAGTGTTATATGGAGCCTTTCTATAGGAAGAAGCTGCTGGAGACCATTTGCTTTAAAAAGGATGAAAGTCACGAGAGCGTCCAACTGCTTCTCAAAGGGTTGGGCTCTTGGTTTTAAAAAGTGATAATGTACCATCCTCTCTTTGAAACTTAGTCCTGAAAATTTGCCAGTGGGAAAACATCCCAAATGAGATCAGGAGGCTGTATCCATTGCATAGCAGAGGTGGAATTTGGACACAGTTTTATTCCTGGATGCCTGAGTGGTAACGAGACCTTTCCTTGGCAAATGCACACGGTCGAGAACAATTTTACACTATCTCTCGAGCAACTTCACCTCTGAGGAGGTGACCATGCCTCTCATTCCTCATACAAGCCCAGATAACTTTCCCTCCCCTAACTGCTTCCACTGACCTCTCTCCCTCTGTTATTTATTAAAATGTGCAATACAACAAGAAAAGGAAAAGATTATCCTGCCTCCTGCCTTGCAAGATGGCATGCAGACGGCCAAGGTTAAATGCAGCATTTGGTTTCTTAAGCTTCTCTAATGCATAGGTGTGGAAAAGCAATCTGGGACCAGAGTTTATAGCAGTGACTCTCTGAGGATAAAAACTTGACTTTAATTTGGACTCTCTGGCTAAGATAAAATCTGCTTCTGCAATCATTATCACACTTACGTGTGTCCCCACACTCTTTCCACTCTGCCACCCAGCTGAGTGGGAAGAAATTAACCTGACCTTGAAGAATATCCAGAGAATCTTTGGGACCATCGAGTTTTCAATGGCCAACACAGAGGCCTACCAACATTTACATAGACTTGCATGCCTGAAAAGGATCTTAAAAATCATCTAGGCCACACGTTTAGCAGACGAGAAAAATGAAGTCCAAAGAGCTAATGTGACTTGTCCAAAGTTGTCAGCTAATTGGAAGAAGGTTCAGAAGAAGAACAAGACCTCAAAGCCTCCAGCTTCCTATTCCCCTGGCACCATGACTCCACTCCAGCCACATCCAGCTCACCTCCAGATCACCAAGGAATGAACCTGAAGGCACTTGGGCTTTAACACAATGTTTAGAACTTCCTTAGAGCAAATAAAAACTCCCAAGGAATGGGCTCAAGAAAAGCCATCTCAAAGATCATGAGAAGGGGGTATTTCAACATTTTTATGTCCGTAGGGTCTTTATCCAGATCAAAATTATATATTCAAATTAAAACTGAACATTGTTTTTTTCTACCTAGGAATGAGACCCTATGTTTTCTCCCCTAAAGCTGCTTCTGTTTATGTTTCTGATCTGTTCCTACCCAACAACATATTCTGCATTTCTAGTTTCAGACTCTGGCACAGCCAATGGGTTAGAGCAAAAGTAAGAAGTATGGGTTGATTTTTATCCTGGAACCTAGGGATTAAATTCAACCCACAGATGTGTTTTGTAAATCAAAGTCCTTCTTATTTATATTGAGAAGGATAAATTCTCTCCTCATCCCTCCTGAGAGTGAATTTGTGGGTGGGTAGCTCTTGAGTGTCAATGAAGATTCTAAAGACAGCCCTCCAGGGGCCAGCTTCTAGTATTCACATTGGACAGCCAGCTCTCCTGTAACCCTGAGCAATCAAAATTAATTCTCTGAAGTGATAATGCTCTAGACTCCTTTCTGTCTTGAAGCAACATTCAGGTTTTGTAAATGCAGTCAATTTCATGGGATTGAGTAAAAGGGTTAAAAACTAATATTGCAATCTTAGAGGAAAACCCAACAAGAACCATTTGGAGAATTTCAGTCTAGAGTGATACTGCCTGCCAGGGCTCTTCATCTTTTTTTTTTTTTTTCATTTTGAGAAATGACCTCGCCCAATTAGACTCACGCTAGCTATTTTTATTTACTTTTTTTTTTTTGAGATACAACAGCCTCTATAATAAGAAATACTTATTATCCTTCAAAGTTGTTTGTTTTTTAAACCTTCTGAATTACTGGTTTCCCCTGAAAACCTAAGTTGCATTGTTCTTAACTACTCTTTCCCAAGCAGGGTTTGAAAACTGTAAAAGGACAAAGCCTACATGAAAATAAAGAGTTGTAAAATAGAATTTAAACTGTCACATGTGAATTTAGTTGATCTTTGTTCCCTTAATAATCTTCAAACAAAACCACTTTATTCTTGTTCATTAAGATCATTACCTTTGAGAGTTAAGTATCTTTGCAGGTCCTTTTAAAGTTTTCTTTTTAAAAGGTTCAAATCTTTCGTGCTCCACAGACTCGAAAACCCTTCAGCTAGTGTAGGAAAAAACCCAGTATTTCAAAACCATGGAATTCTCCATTTCCTTTACACATGTCTATTGTGAAGGCAAAAAATCATTTTATTCCTACAGATAATATATTCATTCAAAAGTAGTTCTCTGTCTACCCGATAATAGCTTTAAAAGCTCTACCAAATCATTCCTTCGGTGGTCATCCATTAGATCCACAGAAGTTGGATGATTGCCTTACCAATGTATTTGGTAAGTTTATAAGTAAAAACCCCAAGAGCAAAAAATTAGAATATTCTCTTAAGGTTGGAAAGAAAGAAATGTGGCTCTGAGCCTTCATTTCTTGCAAAAACAACACAAAATGAAACTTACCCAATGGGCTTTCATAGGAAACCGTTAAGACAACTTTTGGAGATTCTCCTAATAGAATTTATTTCCATGGGGCGGATTGGTCATCTCATCCATGAGTCCTGTCAGTAGCCATTGAAGTGGGTTGTCCACACCTGGCTTTCCCTGGCCAACAGAGATCTCTAAGATGTTGACAGTGTTCAGAAAAGACCGACGTCCACAGAGCTCGAAGTTTTGCTCTGCTGTAAGGAACACTGGACTATACGGGATAACTGAGGACTGAGCTAAGTAATCTCATCCCTCAGAGCAGGACCCGTTTTTTTTATTTGGTAATTTCACCTGTTCGGGGGGGCTCAGGGAGAGGAAGTGTTTAAATAGATGGTGTATAGGCCCGTCTGATTCAACTGCTCCTAAAAAGCATTAAACTCATTCTTTGGAAGAATGGAGTTGAATTCCGAATGCTAAAAACATCAGGAAGGCTCCAGTTGTGCATCTTGTAAGTTTGATCGTACCTATTTTCTCTGTAGGTGTCAAGTGCCCACGGAAGATTTCTATAGCCTGTGTTCCTGTCCGCCCAGGTCAAAGGTATTACACTGTCTCACACTTGTAAGATTTAAAAAAAAAAAAAATACATCTTCACATCCGACTCAAGAGAACGTTCACGTTGAAAGTAGCCATGACCCAAGTACCAGGGAAAACGCAATTACTCATCTCACTCAAATGCTTTCATTTCCAAGAAAAACTTCGGGCCACCATTGAGAATTCAAGTTCACGGAAACAAAGTTAGCGGATAACAAACACAGTCAGTTCTAAATTCCTAAGTCTCTAATCCACTTGCCTTTCTGTCTGTGTGCCAGTCTAGCGTGACCTTGCATACTTTGCTGGTGAGGACCTGAGGACACACTGCCGCGGTCGTCCTCAGGTAGTGGAGGGCTGCACACACCCCAAGAGCGAGGCCTAAGGAGGGGGCTGAGTTGGCATTTGAAAGGAGGACCCGGGCTGCTCACTTTGTCAGACTTTGTCACTGTGCTTCAAACGTACTAAATCATCTGTCATCTCACTGGGGAAACCATCATTATGACCGTCAAAACCTGGGCTATTAATTTCTGGATCTGAGGGTGTTGACATCACAGTCATTACATTTTGAACCGAATTTACTTTAAAGGCCTCTGAGTTAAGAACAACTTTCTGAACTTTCAAAGTTACGTATTCCTGAACGAGGGCACGTTAAAAGAGAAGCTTTCCTGATTAGCCTGACTACCTGTTTTGGAGGCCCCCTGCCTCAAGGTAATAAAGTAAAGGCACAGGAGCTTTACTGTTTTATAAGGATGGGGTTCTGCTGAGATGCTCGGCCTCCTTTTTTGAGGACTTGTCGGTCCATGGTTGGAATGGTTGGAATCTGGGACACAGACCGGGGCTGAATTCCTTTACCCTCCTGACCCCAGAGAGTCTTTAGAAAAATAGAAACAAAAGAGCACAAAGTACTTAAGGTAAGACACCGTTGTATTCATAATACAGAGAAATAACCACCGTGCCTCATGGACAGGAGATACAGTTCTCCACGGGGCTACAAAACGGTGCTGGTAATAATTTTAATTGGATGCTATCTTGGCTGCCTTCAGAAAGTATCATAAAATGGAATTATTACAGGCTACAAGTGCACTTCCAGAGCCGGCCTCTCGCAGAAGGAAACAGAAAAACATTTATCCAGCGGAGGGCAACGTCAATGGGCTTCTACTTGTTTCGTTTACATGCATCCCCCAGCTGCCTGCTGTGGGCTCCCTCCTCCCCGGGGCTGGGGCATCCCTTAGAAGGAGGCGCCGCTGCAGCCCGGGATGCTAAGTTTTGCAGCGGGCCCTGGGGCTCCGGTGGGGGGGGGCGGGGCAGCCCCCCGTGACCCCCCGTGACCCCCCCCCCCCGACTCGGGGGCGGGGCGCGTACCTGCAGAGGATTGGGTGGCGTGAGCGGCGACGGCAGGCCCTGTCCCGGCGACTGGCTGGCTTTCTGAGGGGGGCTTGCGCTCTGCTGCGGCGGGGACGCTCGGCTGTGGTTGTGGTTGTGCGGCTGCGGCTGCGGCTGCGGCTGCGGGGGCTGCGGCGGCGGCGGCGGCTGCGGCTGCGGGGGCTGCGGGGGCTGCGCGGGCGGCCCGGGCGGCGGGTGCTGGGCGGGCGGCGGGAGCTGCTGCAGCTGCTGCAGCTGCTGGAGCTGGGAGTTCAGGGGTGAGGTAGCTGCGGGGAGAGAAAGGGAGCGTGCGGTTGGGACCCCGCCGCGGACGAGAGCCCCCCGCCCCCTCCCCTGCACCACGCGGCGGCCCCCCAGGCTCCCCCTTCGGTGCACGCGAGGCCTGGGGCTGCGGGGAGCCCTGGGAGCAGAGAGGCACCTGCACCCCGGGAGCCGCGTGCAGCCCGCAACCAGGGCTGCGCGGAGCCTGCTCCCTGCCTTCCCTCGCCTTTTCCTCCGCGCCGGCCTGCGAACACACCTGTGCTTTAGGGCTTTCGGTTGTAAAAGTTCACCCCCCCCCCAAATCCTTTCGGGCCCGTGCTCAACTGGAATTAAGAGCACCAACTGTTTGTGCTCTTCGTTTGCATCACCCGGACCACCTGCTGCTTCGGACCTGGCCAGTTTGCTTAGACGTGTGAGGGTCAAGTTTCCACAGGTTGGGTGTCTTTTTAGTGTTTAAATTTATTATTTGTTTAAGATTTTATTTATTTATTCATGAGAGAGAGAGAGAGAGGCAGAGACACAGGCAGAGGGAGAAGCAGGCCCCATGCAGGGAGCCCGACGTGGGACTCGATCCTGGAACCTGGGGGTCACGCCCTGAGCCAAAGGCAGATGCTCAACCACTGAGCCACCCAGGTGCCCAGGTGTTTGTTTTTGTTTTTAAAGATGGTCCAGGGGATCCCTGGGTGGTGCAGTGGTTTGGCGCCTGCCTGTGGCCCAGGGCGCGATCCTGGAGACCCGGGATCCAGTCCCACGTTGGGCTCCCGGTGCATGGAGCCTGCTTCTCCCTCTGCCTGTGTCTTTGCCCCTCTCTCTGTGTCTCTCATGAATAAATAAATAAATATTTTTAAAAAATGCATTAATTTGGGATGCCCGGGTGGCTCAGCGGTGTAGCACCTGCCTTCCGCCCAGGGCGTGACCCTGGGGTCTCGGGATCGAGTCCCACGTTGGGCTCCCTGCATGGAGCCTGCTTCTCCCTCTGCCTGTGTCTCTGCCTCTCTCTCTCTCTCGAATAAATTTAAAAAAAAATCTTTAAAGACAGTCCATTCTTCTCTGCTTTGCAGAGACAGAAGCTGGAGTCTGAATATTTTGCCTGCCAGTCAGGGCCCTCTCACCCCTAAACCGTGGGGCAGGAAGGGTAAAAGCAGGCTGCTGTGAACTCTACAGTGGTGACTAGGCATGTTAGCACCTCAAAAACAGGGCAGGAAGGGAGAAAACTAAATCATCTTTTTAAGATTTCCTTGTTATTTGAAAAGTAAGAGTTGGTGGGACAAGCTTCTTAATACTGAACACCCTAATTTTTAGGTTCTCGCGTGCCCCATCTCGCACTATGCAATGTCGGCCGCAGGAGGACTGTTAGTGTGGCCAAAGAATGATCTAGAGAAAGTTACTGCTACAAGTTCACTTCCTTCTCTGCCTGAGTTTCAGTCTCAAAGCTTTCCAACAAGACTACAAACAAATACAAGGATTCATGTCAAACCTGTATGCCTTGGCTGAAATGTTTTCCTGCTTCTCCCTTACCTAGAGTTTGTCAACATTTTCAACAGTAATAGCTCCTGTTTGTAACATTAAACGAGTCCCCTTTTTTTTTCCCTAAGTGCTCCTTTGGAAAAAAAATCTAGTGGTTCTGGAAAGTGGCATATTGCATACCCACCTGCCTTCACACAACAAGTACGTTCTTGACAAGTATGTGTACACTGAACCATATGTTGCGGACACCTAGAGAACTTGGTAAGAAAATCAAGCAGTGACTACTCCTGTAGATTTAAGAATTGCTTGTTAAATGTATGGAACATGAGCTAGGCACTAGTACTGTGCCGAGCAGTATGTATGGTTTAAGGTCACAATTCTGCCTTCAAGGAGTGTCATGGTCTACTTATGGAGATGAGATTAACTCATAAAAAACGATCAGGTCTGGGGGTAACAGGGTCCTGCTATTGGTAGACCAAAAGGGCCCAGAGAATCAGGACAGGGGGGTTTCTGTGGGTTAGAGAGGCCAAGGCAGTGTCCGTGGAGGTTGTAGAACCAGAGCAGAGAGGGTTCAAGAAAGTGAGGGTCATTCCTTGAGAGAAGGAAGAGAGGGTATTATTATTACAGTCTGGAATGTGAGAAACATCCAGATGACACAGCATGGCTTATGTGGTCTTTCTTTTCTTTTTTCTTTTGTTTTCTTTGTTTCTTCTTCTTCTTCTTCTTCTTCTTCTTCTTCTTCTTCTTCTTTTTTCTTTCTTTCTCTTTCTTTCTTTCTTTCTTTCTTTCTTTCTTTCTTTCTTCTTTCTTTCTTTCTTTCTTTCTTCTTCTTTCTCCTTCCCCTCCTCCTCCTCCTCCTCCTTCTTCTTCTTTGTATATTAGATGCTTTGTTTTTTGTTTAATTTAAATTAACGTATAATGCTAATTATATGTTGGTGTTTGTTTTTTAAATGATGGTCCATCAATTAGCATATATTACTAGTTTAATATATAGTATTAACATATATGATATTAACATATAGATAACAATTAAAATCAATTAATTAACATATAATGTATTATTAGTTTCAGAGGTTAGGTGATATTTCTGAAGGACAATGTGGAGAATGACTGCCTGGAACAGAGGCTCTGGGAAGTTTTGAATGACTTTAGACTTTAGAGAAGGTAGACAGCCTATCTTTGAAAGTGTTGGAAAGATGGGTCACTCCCAATTAGCCTCTGGTGTAAGTCAGACTTTAAATATATAATTAGGTTTCTTTATTAGTAATATTTTTAAAAATTGGGTTTGTTCAAAGCAAGGCACACCTATATTGGTGAAATGGTAGCTCGACAGCTCCCAGGGGCACCAAATACCAATCCGTTCTCTCAGGTACCTTGTAGGGCTTCCATGGTAGACCAGCTGGGACGGCGAGTCCTCACTGGGTTGATGAATTATTCTACGTCTATTCAAACTCTTGGTCCAGTCTGTGTCCACCTTTGCATGGAAGTCCGGAGTGCTCTGGGACTCCAGTGGTAGAGATAGTGTGCATGAGAGAGGGCTGCAAAATACCCAAAGGGAACTCTCTGAACCTTCTGTTCAGTTTTGCGACAAACCTAAAAATGCCCTAAAAATTAAGTCTCTCTAGAAAAAGTACCCAGTCTTCCCATTTATTGGAACCCTAAGAGAATGGTCTGGTTTTGTCACCTGCCCATTCCTATTGTACAAAATCACATTTTATTGAAGATTTGGGAGCCCAGCTCAATTCTGACATCCCAGGATCTTCCATAATCTGAAGTCCTGAGGGAATGGGATTTGATCTATCCTTTTGGTGGAGTTTACAGATTTTGGGAATCTGATTGCATCTGGCCTCCTGCCTGATTCAAATCAAGCTTGTCCTGATTCCTTTCAGGTGGGGGGCACACATGTCAGTGCTTATTTTCATGGTTGACTTAAGTACCATACTGTTTCATTTTGGTTAGAAAAGCATTTATCTAAATCAGCATTTAGAAACAGGATAGACTGGGGAATATTGGCAGACAGATATTGGCAGATGGTTAGGTGCAGCGGACCCTAACCTACTAATGAGACACGGTTCCAAATGTGTCTTCGTTCCTTTATGTTGGTGCGTTCACATTACTTGACTATTTCTTTCCCATAATCTGCAGCTTGCCTGAAAAGGCATTAAATTAACCTAAACGAGACCTCTTTGAGTTATATAAACTAATTTGGCATCTGCAAGCAAAAATCTGCAAGCCATAAATATGGCTAGGTATGTGCTGGATGCAAAGAAAAGCATGAGAGTGTTGTACAAGAATGTAACTTTGGTTTAAAGAACACCAAAGCCACCTACATAACAGTGTATAAACAGAAGGAAAGAAAACAAAGAAAGAAGAAAGAAAAAAAGGAAGAAAGAAAGAAAGAAGAAAGAGAGAAAGAGAAAGAAAGAAAGAAAGAAAGAAAGAAAGAAAGAAAGAAAGAAAGAAAGAAAGAAAGAAAAAGAAGAACTAACTGATACAGCATGGAACCTCTGTATGGCTCCTTATATAAAGCACATTGAGAAACACAAGATAGGAAGGTTCAAAGACATTCAACTAGAAAAGGCAGATAAAATGATGATTGTTAGGGGTGAAACTGACCCTATGCACGGAAGATTAAAGATTTTTACTTTTTTCCCTCGTAATTACATCCTTTTATGATTGTTTCCTCTCTAATTATTATACACTATTGGTAAATGTAAAATTTAACTACCATACCAGTAGCTATGAAAGAAAAAGAGATGCATAGAAATTTACACTAAGACATTTAACATTTTTTTTAATTTACAATTTTATAAAAGAAACATGGAACAAAATTCTAGCAAACTCTGAATTTCCTAGAGAGAACACTTTGGCAAAACCAGTAGCTTGAAACTCCCAAATAAATAATTCAGTATGACAAAGGAGTAGCCAAGACTCCTCCATTTCTCCATTTGTTCAGTTTTTATATGTCAACTGTAAATTAGAAAAAATTCTTTCTTTTGAATCCTTGTTAAGGGTTTCCTCGGAAAATCTCACAGATACTAGAGCCACACCACCAGAGGATCAGAATTACATTGGCTGGGATTTACATAAGACTACTTCTAAGGCAGAGGAATGGAAAAGCGAAAGCACCATGCATATCTGCATATGAAGGGCAAGTCCAGAAAGATTCTGGAGAAATAAAGATGTGTTTTATGCCTCCAAGGCATCACAGCAAGCAGAATGCACTCAAATACTAAAGGAAAGGTTTACTTTTGTTAACAAAAAGTATAACATTGCAGTAATTTAATCACACCATTTGGGATCTCAACTTCAGCATTTCCTTGGACTTTCCAGGCTCAGGCATATGGGGGCACGGTTGGCAAACTGGTGGTTTGGGTTTGACAGCCGGCAGGGAAGGAGTACAAGCTATTACTCACTGCTGACACTTCACACACCTCCGGGCGTGTCTGGGACCTGGAATAGCCTCATAGAAAGACATTTACAGAGGGTAGTGGACACATGCCAGGGAGAAAGAACCTGGTGAGGGTTCTTCATTGAA